AAAAAAAGGTGACCATCAGCCTTTAAGTAAACAGACATCTGTAGTGATTTAATGGCCACTTACAGTAGAATAACACAGGTGATAAATCATGCTATATGTTACATAGTATATGCCTCACTAGTGCAGGTCAAAGGCATTGAAGAGATCATACCTGTCTCCTGTGGAAGCAAGAATCATTTTGAGTCTGTTCTTTCAGTTTCTGTTCTCTAATATAACCTTCTCCAACTCTGCTTTTCTTCCACCAGTTTAATCTGAAAACTGCAGATTATATATTTTTTCACAGAAGTTTCCTAAACATTGACAATTAAGAGAATCTGAGCTGATTTAAACACAGCAAGGGACACTGCAAGACTTTACTAAATTTGTTAAAATTAACTTTGCTAAATCTGATGTTTCAGATCACAGGGAATCCCCCTCTAATTGGTAATAAAACATTCTGAAGAACATCTAACCAGACATTGTTGTATGTTTCCTCCCCAGCATATATAATAGGTTTTCCTCCCAATACAAAATAATAATCAATTAATTAATTCACTCTCCTCCTTTGAAGAACAGTGGCAGGAAGCATTTCAATGGTCTTCGTGTTTTGCTTGTAGCTTAACATACATTTTAGTACAGTCTAGATCAGTGATTCTCAAACCAGATGTTCTTGGACTACAACTCCCAGAAATTCTGGCCAGGACAGCAAGTGGTGAAGGCTTTTGGGAATGTCACTCCAATAACATCTGAGGACCCCGGTTTGAGAACCATTGGTCTACAGCAATATACATTTGAATATGCACCCAGCACTCTTTTCTTACTTTTAGTATCTCATGAGCAATGTTCTGGGGACAGGCAGTGGTGGTGAACGATGTGTATATGTGTGTGTGTAATCAGAATAAAGTCCAGTCTAATTCACCGTTCTGTTCCCATAGTGGCCAACTAAGTGCATCTAGGAAGCCTACAAAAGCAGGATGTGAGTGCAAACAACTACTCACTCCTTGTGTTCCTCAGCACTCAGATGAATTCTTGTGTGGATTCTCAAAAGACAGACAAAAGTTCTGTTGGTTCCATTTCTGCATCTCGATGCCAAGAAAGCCACAATGCATTTCTCCCTTCCCCTTAGTTATTAAAGATAGGGCTGCCACTGCTATAATGGCAAAGACTTCTTCAAGCAACTGCTTTGAGATGTCGTGAAAGGAAAACATACAGTATTTCTTCCTTCATTTATTTTTTCCCCTGTTTTTTACTGATAGGGAACAGAAACGATGATGGCGATCATGATGGTGTTGATGATGCCTCAGTGGTCAAAATAATGGGGTTAAGTACTGTGCTCTGAGAGTGGACAGGGAGGGCGCTGCTTTGCCTCAGGCAGCGGTATGTCTCAGATCTGTTGAAGATCTCTTGATTGCCAAATTTGCAATTCGAACAAAGCAAGCGTGGGCAGACCACTGGCAAGTCTCAGGCTGAAATTTTCATTCTCAGACCTTAGGCTGCACCAGTGAGCCCTACAGGACACTGGATATGCGTGGAGATGGCTGGCCACGCTTAAAGCTGCTTCTCATATAAAAATTAAACTTTATCCTTTTCCAATGCAACTCACTCTTGACCTTTGTCCGTTTGGGAAAACATAGCAATTTACTGAGACTTCACCTGACTCCCTGTGACCTGGCAATCCTATCCTTAATTTTTTTTTTAAGTAGCTGACTTCTTAAAGTAGAAGCAGCAAAATTTCATGCCATGGCCTTGTCTCTTAACTCAGTCTGCCCTGTGTCTTAAGATATGATCAATCTTGAAATCTTGAATTCACTTGGTAATGCCTGTATCCTCAAACTTCAGAGTTGGCAGAGTGGCTCAACTGAGGCAAATCTGAGAAATGTTTACCAGTCAGCCCTGCTATTAGGCAGAGTGAAATGGCTGCCTCAGGAAACTGAAGGTTGTGAAAGCACAGCATTAGAAAAACAAACAAACCCCAAAGTATTATTTTTATCCTGACTACATTTTCACAGCCAAGCATGAGAGTTGCTTATGGGATTTTCTCTCCCATGTGTCAAAATGCCTTTGTCTAAACTAGCTACTGTGAACTTTGATCATGGTGGACACAGGGTACAAAATGTCTTGGGCCAGCCTGTGTATTTCTAACATTTCATATACATGCTATCATTTGATCCCTAGAAACACACAGCCGCCTGATTCTCCAATGACATTCCTTTGGATATCATGTTGTAAGATGTGTAATGATGTATCATGGTACACTCATAAATGAAAATCCCTAGAATTATTATTCTCAGAATGCTCATGAAGAAGAGGGTGCGCTTAACACACATGTACACACATATTCCTTTATGAGAATCATCTTGTGACAAAGTATTATTTGAAGAATCCCTCAGTATCTATGTTGAAATCAGATATTATTTCATGCATTTATCCATACTGCCTTGGGTTTCACACAAATATTTACAAAGAAAACAACCACATCGGTTTTTGTTTTTTCAGCACTGAAATCTATCTTTGAAAATCTATTTCACCTACCTATCTACCTAGTATCTTCACAGTTCCATTCTTGTTTTCAGAAAGTTTGTTAAACACGGTCCCAACAGTGAAGCTAAACTTTTGAAAAACAGAAGCCCAACCTGACTGCCTGGTTATAATACATTCATGGACATACCAGTCTCAGACACATTTACTTGGAAGCAATTTCCACATACTTTCGTGGAAGATAAACTTTACCTCAGGTAAGTATGTTTAGCATCACACAACCAAAACTACTAAGTTATTCTTGGAAGTTCTATCACATATTCCTCAAAAGCTTTTAAAGTATGACCCTGAGATTGGGAAATTTTAATTTCTGTATTGTCTTATGATTTACTCAAACCTCTCAAAACTTAGCATAAGCCTACTTCTGTACAAAAACAACCTCCTCCATTTGAATCATTCTTTCGACTTCTTACTACATCAAAAGTTCCCTAGCAATTATTCCTCTATTAGTAGGGACAGAGAACGACGTGATTTACTGCACAAATGCCAAGGTAAATATTTCACAAACCAATGCAACCTCTCATACCCCAAAGACACTTGCGTATTTCATCTGTGTGGCAACATGTGTCTCTTACTCACTCTAAATGAAACCTAACCCATTGCTTCCCACTTATGTTACGTTCCATGTCATGCTGAGGGCATATTCATCTGGACTATGTTTAAATACAAATAGCCATCATTTTGTCATAAACCAGACCTTACACACAGCTTTCAAGCATGTGCTGTTGTGAGAGTAGCTTATTATATGTATCTGACAAGAGAATACACAACCCCCTTTAAGTCTTACTCTGTACTTCAGTCAGGTTACTGGTTTAGGGTTTTCTCTAGTAACCAGCAGATTTGGTTGGTGTATCTGGCCTATTTGGGGAGAAAGCCAACCTGTTTGTTTGATTTTAAACATTGCTACTGGTGTGGTGACAAAAAAAGAAAGCGTGGGTCTTGTTATTGCCACAGGGGTCGTCAATTAGCACACTGGATAGCCAAGAAGACTGTACTATCATTTTTTAAAAAAAGGGTGAATACAATGTGCCTGTCACTCATTATACACCTGTCTCTATGAAAGATAGAGCTATCTGGATAGCTCAGTGGTTTAGATCTCTGGATGTGGAGCCAGAGGTTGGGAGTTCAATTCTCCACTGTGCCTCCTGTGAGTAGAGCCAGCCTGTGTGGCCCTGGGCAAGCTGCACAGTCTCTGGGTGCCCCCAGAAGAAGGGAAGGGTTAACCACTTCTGACAATTCTCTACCTGAAAAACCTGAAAAGGGTTGCCATGAGTCAGAATTGACTTGAGGGCACATTATGATGATGATGGTGAAAGATAAGGGTACAATCCCAATTACTGAGTAACAAGTGTCAAGGCCAGCATTATCTTTAGGGAAAATGAAGCACTAGTCTTATGATACTTGAGTATCATAAAAGGATTACAAAGAGTTTTTAAACTCTAGTACTGTATTTTTGCTGCCAGTAGGGAACGAGGTTCTTCTTCAATTTCCTGCTTCACAGGATATTGTCAACATATCTTGCTGGGCTTTGGGTATTATGTCCCTTCCTTGGATAGAAGATAGAAAAACATTTCTGGTCAGCCCCAGGCAGCAAAATATCTTGGATTGGTGTTGCCATGTCCAATTGAGCTTAATGAAACCTACTTCCAAATTAACACACATTATACATGCAACAGTATACAGTTTCAATTATATTAAAATCAACTTGTTGCCTGCTCAGGCCATAACATTGTTCCTCATCTTCCAATTTACTAGGCTTCAAATGTACACATGCATTTGTACACGTCTTATTCACCTCTCTGAAGAAGGCTATTCCCAGCATAAGTACTATAGAGTCTCAGCTGGTAAAGGAGATGGAGTAGTTAGAAGTAAATTTCAGGTTTCCAATATCCTAGAGCTGCATCAAAGAGCATTTCATTAAGGCTCTTTTTTTAGCCTTATATGTCAGAAAATGAATCTGAGAAAGGCTTTCCATTTCTTAGGCTTTAATACATTTTTAGCTGGCTGGGTTGCTCAGTGTGTTGGGTATGAAGCCCAGAGTTTCAATTCTCCAGAGTACCTGCTAGGAGAGGAGCCCAGCCTGTTTGGCCCTGGGCAATCCAAATAGTCTCAGAGGACCCACAGAAGAAGTAACTGGTAAAAAGCTTCTGAGTATTCTATACCTAGAAAACTTTGAAAAGAGTTGCAGCGAGTCATAATTGACTGGATGATGTTTTAGTATTAAAAAGGTGCTTAATCCCATGTTAGTATCTATGTTTATCTAGCCCAGTATTCCCTACTCTGACTGGCAGCAGCTCTCCAGGGTCTGAGATGGAGGTGCTTCCTCTCACTTGCTTACAAATTCTTTTCACTGGAGATGTCAAGGGTGATTCTGGGAATAACTGTGGGCATGCAAAGAATGTGGTGTACCATCAACCTATGATTCCTCCCTAAATTTTAGGGGGTTGAGGGTTTAAACCTATTAAACATGGCTCACTTCTGCCTTTCTTTGCAACAAATTATTTTACAAGATAGAAAAGTCTCATTTCAGTGAAAAATCAAAATATCACAACTAAAATGTTTGTGGCATTAATTGTCTTTACACGGGAAGGAGAGCACAAACTTCTGTAACTCCAGAGATAGGCCAACTTGGAACAGGAAACTTAGAAAGCTTTTTGGGAGTCCTAAGATTACATTTTTGAGAGATACTCCTCAGATAGTTTAAAAATGTCTCAGTTGTTGCACTCTTCCAGCTTACGTTTTTCCATGCAGTTTCAACTTCTCATCAGAGAGAGAAACAGAGACAGAAAGAGGGACAGAAAATCTTTAAAATTAGAGCAAAACCTGTTATGCTATTAAGGACTCAGATTTTTATGGGTTCTTGACAACTTCCTAGATAACTTCTTATGTATTTAATTCTGGCAGGCTAGAAAACATCTATCCACACAGACCACTTCTTCCCATTCTTCATTCACCTTGGAATTTAAGACTTTTAGAATTTCAAGAAGAAAAAACCAAGATGGGATATTTTGCTTCTCATGTTTGGCGCCTCCATCCCTTTGGATGCGGATTATAATTGGAGTCAGCAATTGACAGGCAGTAATCAGACCTGGAATCCATGGAGATCACGTCAGGATCAGTTCGGGCACGCTGGTTGTAATATGCATGCTGAAGACGAGATCCACAGTGAGCAGTGGAGCTGGGAGCAGACATTGTGCTCTTGGCAGGAAACACGGCTGCTGAATAGCTCCTTCCAAATGAAGGTAATTTAGCGTGGACACTTGGAGCTGGATGCTCATAGGCTACTTTTTGTTTCCAGTCATCTGGTGGAGTGGGTAGTGTTTTCCTGCGAGCAGCTGACACAACATTTGCAGCAATCGACTCTTGAATGGTTTGGGGGGCAAAGGCATCATCCACAAGTCCAAGTGGAGACTTGGCTGCGGCTTCCCATGGAGTCAGCCTCTTGCCAGGCTTGTGAACAGCTGTAGGCAGTTTGCTGAAGGAATCAGAGGCAGGCTGGAACATCGCAGGAGAAACAGGTGACATGGACCGGGAAGTGGCTGAAGAATGCCATCCAGGAACTGAGAAAGATCGTTCGCTGGCTCTTTCCTAGAAATAACAAAACTTAAAATATGATTACATTCGCTAATAGCAATGGCAAAAGACATTGAACTGTACACCTATAAACCTGTATTTTTATTACCTTCTTACAAAACAAGTAGTGTGTGCAAATGGGATTTTGAAAAGTTATCTAAAAACACCAGGTGACGGTTTCTTGAAAAGATCAAACTACAGTAATAACAGTACTTCAAACCCATAGTAAAAATGATTACGTTTTCATTTGCAAATGAGATTTCAGCTCTTCTAACATACCTTGACGGAACCTTTATTTTTAAAAGTTAATGTGATACAAAGATCAAGCAGAACACGAAGACGAAATTGTGAGCAATCCTATGGGAAATGATTAGAATTTTTTGCAGAAAACTCAGCAGAAGTATGTTTTCAGGGGGGAAGAGGAAAAATAAGCTCACATTCAGTACAAGCACTGCTTAAGACCACAGGCATGGCTATTAGAGCAAATAGGAGAAAACAATGAAGAAAAAAATCACAGCTATAATGGAATTCAGGAATGGGAACAGAATCAAGGAAAAGATCAAGAGAGGTTAAGAGATGAGCTCAAGCCACGATTTTCAGATATGCAAGAGATGCACATTCATGGAAGTGGAATATTATGTGAAGAACAGCTCCATTGTATTCTCGAAGGCTTTCACGGCTGGGATCTGATGGTTGTTGTGGGTTTTTCGGGCTCTTTGGCCGTGTTCTGAAGGTTGTTCTTCCTGATGTTTCGCCAGTCTCTGTGGCCAGCATCTTCAGAGGACTGGAGTAAAAATGTCCAGAGCATGGACAGAGTTCCTACTCCAGTCCTCTGAAGATGCCGGCCATCAGGAAGGACTACCTTCAGAACATGGCCAAAGAGCCCAAAAAACCCACAACAACCAACAGTTCCATTGCTTGGTGGTGGTGGAAAACATTGACTGCCAACATGCTACCCAAGAACAATCCAGTTAGGACCATTATTAAATCAATAACAATCATATGAATATGTTTTTAATATTGTTTTAAATCTATTGTTATAGTTTAAATGTATTTTTCCCCTTATTACCGTTAGCTACCGTAACTAGCATTTGAGTGCAAGAGATGGGTGGGTTGAGGGAAGCCAATGTGTTAATGTTCCATGGAATTAGAGTATTTAGGTAATCTGTGAACAGGTCTAGGGAATGAGCCCAGGCATTATTTCTATACGCCTGGTATTTCTGCCAGAGAGATGTGGGAGTACATTAGGTGTTATCAGCAACATCACTGGGAAGGTATTAATACATTGTATTCTCGAAGGCTTTCATGGCCAGGATCCAATGGTTGTGGTAGGTTTTTCAGGCTGTTTGGCCATGTTCTGGAGGTTTTTCGTCCTAATGTTTTGGCAGTCTGTGGCTGGCATCTTCAGAGGACAGGAGTTAGAACTCTGTCTGTGTTCTAGTGTATTGTGTGGGATTGTTAGGAAAAAAAACCCTCCAGAACTTGGCCAAACAGCCCAAAAAACCTACAGCTCTTTTAACACATTCCTTCTAGCATATTCTGTCCTATAACACTGTCTAGTGCATTGTTTTTCTAGCTCATGAATGTCAACTGTACTCTGCTAAAGACAGCAGTTTTTTAAATTCCCCAGTCTAATTGTTATAGTCCCTCTCTGCTTCAACCGAAGTACTGCAGGCAACTCATTATGGACTTTGTTTTCTGAAAAGTGTCAGTTTTACCTATACCCTCTGAAAGGCAATGCTCCTGACAATAATGTGGAAACATTATCTTATTGCTTGGGGGAGGAAGAGGGAAAGTCATGTTTCTAAGCTCTAATTCTGCTTCTAGTTTAACCAAACTGTAACTACTGAACCAAACTCTTCCTTTTATTTCTCATCTGAAATACTTCTGCCTCCCTTCTCTTGTTAAATGACTTGATACGATCAGAAAAGGGCCAAAACGAAGCTAAAAACAACTGACCTGTCTTAAAAGGAAAACATTTCTTTCCCACCATTACAATACTCTGCTTAGCCCTGCTCTTAAAAAAAAAAAGCAATACCTGGTAATTTCAGAATGCTCTGATTCATTTACAAGAGCAATCCATTCATATTTCATAAATTGTAATTTGTTGGTGAAATAAACACTTTCAGTCATGAATTTTCCTTATGACAAAATCTTTTGCCACAAAATCTTCACCCCTTTCCCTGTCCATTGATTTATTCCTATCTATAATTTTTTATTTAAAACAAACAATATTTGTAATGCAGTTGGACTGTTTGCATGAGAGTATAAGCGCAGTAGATTGGACCTCTTGGCTGTGGAGCCTGGTTGAGATGAAACCAAGTGTATGTGGCTGACAGGATTATGAGCTCAGTCACCTGTGCAACCTAGGGCAAGGTTCATGGTCCCACTGCTGAATACCTCATACCATGAAGGGCACCATTAGTCACAAATAACTTGACAACAGATAATTAATATTATATAGCTAAACAAATATGTCTCTTCGGGACACACAAAAGCAAAATGTGTTTTTATTACATAGGAGAGTGTGGGACAACAGTCTAAACTAACATATCCCCACAATGTGGAAGTTTCATCACCCAAAGCACACAGATGTGACAGAAGATTCTAGAACAATCACTGGCATTTCTTTCCAAGTAAACGGCTTTGATCCAAACTTGAGGTTCTCTGAGTAGAAGGCACACCTGCTCAGGAAAGCTAGGATTTTCGCCAGTTTCACACTTCTCAGCAACCGTGCTTTGTGCCACATCCCACGCCATTTCAAAAATTACATCATCCCCCAGAACTGGGTCCCTTTCTGCCCTCTAGTGGCTATAGGGAGCAACTTTGTGATTTTTAACAGCTTCTGAGCTATTCTAAATAACTTCTGGTTTTTAATAAAGCTCCCAGCTCAGAAGAGAATAAACATGGCAAAATTGCTGCCCATTCCCCCTAGAGATTGCAAGGGGAATTAAGGAAAAAAAATACTTTCAGGGGTGTGGAAGTGTTGAAGGGCCTGCATCTGGGCCCCCAAGAAGGGTAAAATCTGCCCACTCTTGATTTAAAGACCCACCAACATAGGACATCAGAGTAGAATCAACCTACAGTAACATGAAAGAGGGAATAATCACATGATTCTTTGTAGATTACTGCCAGTCTTTGACAGTACACAAGAGTTTTTTCTATTGTTTTCTGTGACAGGTTGGAAGATATGTGAAACACCAGAGTTCATCCACCAGATAAACAGCTTGCTGCCATAACCTTAGTATCTCAGTGTTTTTGTCTGAACATGTCCAAGCTACGATTCAGTGTTATATTAATTAGTCT